TTTTATGTAATATATATATATATATATATATATATATATATATATATATATATATATATATATATATATGTATGTATATGTATTCGTGTATTTAGGCAGCAAATTCTCTTTTAATAATGTCTGATTGAATAAATTGCAGATATTATGTTTGCTAATTTTTAACATAATCCGTTCATACTCACGAATAACCTTCCGTGTATTGATGTTAAAGGATGAGAGAAATGTGATATAGCTGTTTAAATTTCTTTTATTTTCATTTCTTAAGTACTTTCGATCTTCTTCCAAGATTATCTTCAGGGGTACAAGTAATGCAAAACTATATGTTGTTCATTAATATAAGTATTTATACAAAGTTTTTCGCTGCTAACCATTACCGTATTTTTTTCAGTATACTTTTAAATGCAAAACGGTTGACAATGTGCTGAGCGTTCATTAGAACATGAACACAATTACGCTAATGGATAACAACGCACAACTTTGTTTCAATACTTATACTTATTTTGAAATATTGTTGTGGTGTTCTCCCTCTAAAGAGTTTATGTTGGACTCTTCCGCCACCTATAAGAGAAGGCCTTTGGGAAGGTTATTCGTTATAAAATTAGCAGACATAATGTCTGTAATTTATTCAATCAGACTTTATATATATATATATATATATATATATATATATATGTGTGTGTGTGTGTGTGTGTGTGTTAAAATTAGCATACATAATATCTGTAATTCTCCTAGGAATACATGTTTGAGAAAAATTATTACCAACAATAAAATGTCAGCATTAATAAACCATTGAGGTTGATATGCCGTAAAACAAACCAAACCAAACAGATATATATATATATATATATATATATATATATATATATATATATATATATATATATATATAAAAGAGATACGATAAATCCGACGCTAATAGCAATCTCTGTGAGGGGAAAATGCCAATTAATAAATGCGTTTGGTCACATTAGATTAATTAATTTCGTCTCTGATGGTCTTAGTTTCAAACAAAAATATCTTTTTATCAGCAAAGGGAATAATAAAATGGCGCCTATTTCATTGTCGAAGCTAAACAAGCAATGGACGAACTTATTTCCTGTTTTAACCACACTTGAGACTATTTTGGAAAAATTTAACACCAAGTAAACAAATAGTCGTCTCCAGAATAATTTATTCTATAAACAAGACTTTTTCACACTTTAACGCAGAGCTATAACACCCCTATCAGCCATTATAACTGACGGCCGATGTATATGTTTTTATTCTGTCTAGTATTCGCCGTGTATTTCTGATGAAAATTCAGCGCAAAGGAAGGCTGGAGATTACAGCAACCGGAACGTTTTGATAAAGACAAGAAGAATTGTTTAAATTAACCAATATATGATAGTAAGAGTATGTTGTATCAAAAGTTTATATAGGAAAAGGCCAGAAAATAAACGGTCGAAATTTATTTTGAAATCGATGAATTGGCTCGTGATAATGTGTGTTAAAACGTGACCCACATAATCAAGGCAACGCATATAATAAATTTTGTCCCTCTATTTCAAATATAATATGTGGGTTATTTTTTTTTTAATGTTTTAATTTATTCGATATCAAATAACCGTGATATTACTTTTAATTTAAAAGTTTATAATGTCGCGTGAATGGAGCGTCATAATATTTTGACAATTTGAATTGATTTTAAATTCTATGTTCCTTAATCTTTTTTGTAAATTATTGGTTCAATATGAATAGCTTTTAGAATTTGTAACAATTTTTTCAGTCTGTAACATATTTCAAATAGAGATACTCTGTTTCTTATATTTTTTTCTTTATATATCAAGTTTTAATTTAATTCCTCTAGATAGAAAATCCATCCTTTTCTACGATGTGAAACTTAGGCACACCTGCTTCAAAAAGGTTCCGTCCGTTCGAGAACAAATTCTTCAGAAAGCTCCTCCGCACCTCCTGCAACGAACACAAAACCAATGACTTTGAACGGAGCAAGGTCAAAAGTCTCATGTGGCGAGAGGAATCTCTCATCACCACTATTAAGCGTCCGAAGATGTCATGGTTTACCCACGTCACACGGCATAACCGCCTCTGTCAGACCATCATGCAAGGCACTGTTGAAGGCCGACGCAAGCGGAGGATGCAACACAAGATCTGCTAAGACAACATCAAAGAGTAGACAATTACTTGGGGGGGTAGATTGTTCTAGTTCAACGTGCCGTGCCTCTTCTGGATGTCTCAGTTATTTCCCTTTAGCTCAACTCTCCACGTTTCGTTTCACCACATTGTCCAGTGGATAAAAACGTTGGTTAGATCCAGTGACTAAACCTAAATAGTTGTGAGTTCAATACCAGGCTACAGCAGTGGTCAACCAATATGTGTGTGATCATTTTCTTTTTTTTTTTCTATAAAAATGATCAATCCAAAATGTCATTGAGCCATTTCTGATCCTGATCTCTGGTTGGGGACCTTATATGTATACAACAGAAACCTATGATGATGATAATCTTCTAAACACGCAGATGTATACCCATCCTAAACATTTTCTGAAACATGTGATTTATGATTTGGCGAAGTCTGTAGATTTGTTTGAATATTTCAAATTTCAATTTCAGTCGCTGACCTAAAAATATCTCTAAAAAATATACTTTAAAAAAAAAATCATAATTATCTGAATTTCTGGTACATTATTTACATTTTTCGGACTATTGTCCACATCTTTGTCGCCATATTTATCACAACGTTTCAGCCGTTGTACGCTCCGGCCTTCTTCAGGTGGTTGGAATTTCGAACTGGACCCTTTATTTCGCTCACTAGGGTAGACTGTTCTAGTTCCATGTTTAATGGATGTCAGTTATCAGTTATCGCCCGCTAATTTCCCTCTGAAAGTTCTCCACTGCCTTAACCGGGTATTGAACTCACACTCTTTGGGTCCTGTCACTGGATCTAACCAACGCCTTTATCCACTGTGCCATGAGGACATCTGGGAATTTCTGGGTATTATAAACCTAATGTCTTCAGCGTGAGATTGGGATAAAGGCATTAGTTAGATCCAGTGATAGGACCCAAAGAGTGTGAGTTCAGTACCCGGTTAAGGCAATGGAGAACTTTCAGAATAAAGGTTGTAATAAATATGGCAACAATAGTCCGAATAATGTAAATAGTGTATATAATACCTCATCTCAGAAATAAAGACAGATACTGAAAGGCTGAAATGTTGTAATAAATATGGCAACAAAGATGAGGATAATAGTCCGAATAATGTAAATAGTGTACATAATACCTCATCTCAGAAATATAGACAGACTCTTTTTTTTTTCTTCGTCAACATTATGATTTTATTGCTAAGTTCGGTGTAGGGGTTATTTTGTAGAGTCCAAAACGAATGCATTTTTCCAAAAAGCTTATTTCAAACTCTGAGTATGTACACGTGAACATTAAATGACGCAAACACGTGCGTGTATCCCGTGCACACCACATACATAAATACATACATTACCTAGACGTATGCTTAATCACACGCTGTCAGGGCGTGACGGATAAAGAATCAGTATTTCTTTTTTAATATAGAATTAATCTACAAAACAAGCTTACAAATCCCCCCAAACAAGACGCCACCACACCAATAGAACGTCTAACAACAACACATAATTTATAATCCTACCCTTGAATACTCTATTTACTAAACTAGTAAATAAATTAGTCATCCCTAATACTAGGATTTGTCCTATAGCCTTGGGTGGCGACAGGATTAGAAGGCCAGCTCTTAATCCCGAACCTCTAACTATGGTTTAAATAGCGTCATCAACCCATAATTGGCCAAGCGTGGTGATTATGTCTACAGACCCGAAGAGATGGTCAGTCCGGGAGGGGTTCTTCCAACAGGAGCGTGAAATCCCTGGTCCACCCCTACAGATATGGTCCATTAGGGAATGGTTCCTCTAACAGGAGCGTAAAGGCCCTGCTCCACTCCTGCAGACATGGTCAATCAGGGAACTTTTCCTCCAACCGACGCATGAAGGTCCTGCTCCACCCCTGCAGACTTAGTCAAGCAGGGTAGGGTTCATCTTACAGGAGCGTGGAGGCCTTGCTCCACCCCTGCGGACATGGTCAATCAGGGAAGGGTTCCTCTCACAGGATCGTGAAGGACCTTCTCCACCCAAGCAGACATGGTCAGTCAGGGAGGTTTTCCTCCAACATACGCGTGAATACCTGGTCTACTCCAGCAGACATGGTCAATAAAGAAGGTGTTCTCATGGAACTTCCACTTTACTAATGGAATACGAGGGGAATGAAGATGGTTCGTCCTATCCATATGGCATAGCAGGTCTTTGCTGTAAAGATCTGAATTGATAGAACTAGGAAAACATTGCTCGTCAGAACATTTTTTGTGGATAGAGTAGAGATAGGCTTGCGACGGTGCACCTGTAAGAAAGGAATTTTACGGTTGAACATAATTGCCTACAAGGAGGCATTAATGTTTCTGAAATTTGCCAAGGCTGACAAGAGACACGTCTGGGCAGCTCTAGCACAGATGTGGCAGTAATACTTCATTTTTGGTCTGATCTGACCCTTGCATGGCAAGTGGAGTTAAATGCCTTCTGACGCGGTAAAAAGAGCTGACCATTTTTTTTTCAGCATGGATGAGTTCTACCAGAGGACTGTGGTAAACTTGAAGCCCAATAGGCGCTCAAAGCAAGGATCTCATTCGAGAGTGCAATCATTCGCTGTTAATGATGAAATTCAAGGTCCGCTCGGTGATAATGAAAAGAACTTGGCTTGTAATCCTTCTCTTTGCCCCATTCCGCTTTTGTCCTTTCTTTTCTCTTTCTTTTTGCTTTTCTTTTCTCCTCCTTTGTTTTCTCTCTTTTCCTCCTCTCTCTCTCTCTCTCTCTCTCTCTCTCTCTCTCTCTCTCTACATTGTCACTTTTTCCTCATCCTTTTTACACGTTGCTTTTTCCTTTCTCCTCTTCCCCAACATTATTTCATTTCTTCTGTCTTACGGATATATCACGTTTCTACACCGGTTTTCATAAGATCACTGAAGTTAAGCAACGTCGAGCCTGGTCAGTACCTAGATGGGTAATCGCTTGGGAATACCAGGTGCTGTAAGCTTGGATATGCAGGTGGTGTTATGGCTTTACGACCATATCACGTTGAAACATTAGTTCCTGTACGATCACCGAAGTTAAGCAACGTCGAGGCTGGTCAGTATCTAGGTGGGTGACCGCTTGGGAATACCAGGTGCTGTAAGCTTGGATATGAAGGTGGTGTTATGGTCTTACGACCATATCACGTTTCTACACCGGTTCTCGTACGATCAACGAAGTTAAGCAACGTCGAGTCAGGTCAGTACCAAGATGGGTGACCGGCTGGGAATACCAGGTGCTGTAAGCTTGGATGTGCGTGTGGTGTAATGGGCTTACGGGCATATCGCGTTGAAACACCAGTTCTTGGACGGTCACCGAAGTTAAGCAACGCCAAACCTGGTCATTACCAAGATGGGTGACCACTTAGGAATACCGGTTGCTGTAAGCTGAAAGTGCGGATAACTACTTGGTATTGGAAATCGGAGAGTCGAGTTTTGGATGGTTCATTATCTTCACTTACGCGTAAATAGTATTTAGAAAGGTATAGATCCTTCTATTTTCCCCTCAGATATGGGTTAATTAGTAGAAGTTGTATCAGTGAAATATTATTTTCCTCAAAAACCATGCATGATAAATATAGTTTTTTTTTTTTTTAATATCCTGAAATTCTGTGATAATCTGTAAAATCTACTTTTCTTTTTTACTCTTTCCTTTCTTTTCATCATTTCTCAAAAATACATATGCATATATATATATATATATATATATATATATATATATATATATATATATATATATATATAAATTAAAATTAATTGATTTAAAATATGTTTTTTTTTTACTACACAGTTCAACCATGTTTCAAAATAGAAGCTAAAAACCCCGAATTTAATTTTGCAATTAAATTAAAAGCATTAGTTCCATTTCATTGAAACATGGTTTTGGAACTGGTGTAATGAAAAAAAAAATATATTAAATCAATTAATTTATAATATTAATATCTGTAAATTTACATTGAGCACTATTTTGTAAAAATAAAATATCTATAAGAACACCGGATTTTATATCTTACTGTTCTTTTTTTATATATATATATATATATATATATATATATATATATATATATATATATATATATATATATATATCCAGAATTTGAGTGTTTATTCTTCATCTTTCTCGTATTTCTTTCCCTTTCAAAAAAGTATCGTTCTTCTTCTTCTACCATGTCCCCCCTTTCTTTTTAGTTTTCATTCTTTTCTTTTTTTTCAGCTTCTTTATCTTCTTTATCTTTTCTTTCTTATCATCATTTTCCTTCTTCTCCCTTTGTGACTTCATTCAGACTTCTTTTATAAAACCTATGCTCTCCTTTTCTCGCTCCCACCGTTCTCAGGATCGACTTGTCTTCTTCTTCATCTTTTATTTCTCATATTTCTTCCCCTCTTCGTAGTATCTTTCTTTCTTTCTTTCTTTCCCATACTTCTTCCCCTTTTTCGTAGTATCGTTCTTTTTTCTTTCTTTCTTTCTTTCTTTCTTTCTTTCTTTCTTTCTTTTTACTTCTTCCCCTTCTTCGTAGTATCTTTCTTCTTTCTTTCTTTCCCATACCTCTTCCCCTTTTTCGTAGTATCGTTCTTTTTCTTTCTTTCTTTCTTTCTTTCTTTCTTTCTTTCTTTTACTTCTTCCCCTTCTTCGTTCAATCTTTCTTATTTCTTTTTTTATTTATATATATATTCCTTTTTTCGTATGATCGTTCTTTTTTTTTTTCTTTCTTTCTTTTTTCTTTCTTTTTTTTCTTTTTTCCCTTCTTCGTAATATCTTTCTTCTTTCTTTTTTCTTTCCCATACTTCTTCCCTTTTTCGTAGTATCGTTCTTTTTTTTCTTTTTTTTTCTTTTTTCTTTCTTTCTTTTACTTCTTCCCTTCTTCGTAGTATCTTTCTTTCTTCTTTCTTTCCCTTCCAAAAGCTTCCCCTTTTCGTAGTATCGTTCTTTCTTTCTTTTCTTTCTTTCTTTCTTTCTTTTTTCTTCCCTTCTTCGTAACTTTCTTCTTTTTTTCTTCCCATCCCTCTTCCCTTTTTCGTAGTTCGTTTTTTTCTTTCTTTCTTTCTTTCTTTTTTTCTTTCTTTTACTTTCTTCCTTCATCGTAGTATCTTTTTTCTTTCTTTCTTTCCCATACTTCTTCCCCTTTTTCGTATCGTTCAAATTTTTTTTCTTTCTTTTTTTTTTTGATCCTTTAAAATTTTTTCGTAGTATCTTTCTTCTTTCTTTTCCATTTATTCTTCCCCTTTTTCTTTTCGTTTTCGTTCTTTTTTTAATTTTCTTTCTTTTTTCTTTCTTTCTTTCTCATCTTCTTCCCTTCTTTTGTATTATCGTTCTTTCTTTTCTTTCTTTCTTTCTGTTTTTCTTAATTCTTCCTTATTCTTCGTATCTTTTCTTCTTTCTTTCTTTCTTTCTTTCTTTCTTTCTTTCTCATAATTCTTCCCCTTATTCGTAGTATCTTTCTTCTTTCTTTCTTTCTTTCTTTTCTTTTTCTTTCTTTCTTTTTCTTATATTCTTCTTCTTATCTTTCTTCTTTTTTTTCCATCCTCTTTCCCCTTTTTTCGTAGTATCGTTCTTCTTTCTTTCTTTCTTTCCTTCTTTCTTTCTTTCTCATACTTCTTCCCCTTCTTCGTAGTATCGTTCTTCTTTCTTTCTTTCTTTCTTTCTTTCTTTCTTTCTCATACTTCTCCCCCTTCTTCGTAGAATCGTTCTGCATCTTCTTTCCTTTCTTCGTCTTCTAAATCGCTTTTGTTAGTTCGACGTCATTTTTTCTCTTTTATTATTTTTCCTTCTTTTTCATCTTCTTTATTCTCTTTATTTTTGTTTTTAATTTCTTCATTTCCAACATCTTTCTTATCGCTACTTTTAATTCTTTTCTTCATTTTTCTTTTTTCCTTCTTTTTCTTTTTCCTTCTGATTCTTTTTCATTCTTTTCTTTTCCTTCTTTTTCTTTTTTTCTTCTTTGAAACAACATGAACAAAAGCATTTTCTGTTGTAACTTCTTCAACTTCTTACCTATTTTTTGTCGCTGGTTTTTCTAGCCTCCCTGTCCCTTCCTTCTTCATCTTTTCATTCATAAGACCTTCTTCTTTTCCTTCTTCTCTTTCTTCTTCTCTTCCTTCTTCTCTTTCTTCTTCTCTTCCTTCTTCTCTTTCTTCTTCTCTTCCTTCTTCTCTTTCTTCTTCTCTTCCTTCTTCTCTTCCTTCTTCTCTTCCTTCTTCTCTTCCTTCTTCTCTTCCTTCTTCTCTTCCTTCTTCTCTTCATTCTTCTCTTTCTTCTTCTTTTTTCTTCTTTTTCCTTCTTCTCTTTTCTTCTTCTTCTCTTTTTTCTTCTTTTTCTTTCTTCTTTTCTTCCTCTTTTTCTTCTTCTCTTTCTTCTTCTCTTCCTTCTTCTTCTTCGATTTTTTCTTTTTTCTTCTTCTCTTTCTTCTTCTTTTTCTTTCTTCTCTTCTTCCTATTTTTTAAACCTTCTCTTCTTCTTCCTTTCTTGATTTCTTCTTCTCTTTCATCTTCTTTTCTTTGCTTCCTTTTTTTCTTCTTTTTCTTCTTCTTTTTTTTCTTTGGATCTTCTTCTTCTTTTTTTTTCTTCTTCTTTTCTTCTTCTCTTATTTCTTCTTCTTCTTCTTTCTTCTTCTTCTTCTTTCTTCTTCTTTTCTTCTTCCTTCCTTCTTTTCTTCTTCTCTTCCTTCTTCTTTCTTCTTCTTTTCTTCTTCTTCTTCTCTTCCTTCCTTTTTTTCTTCTTCTCTTTTAATTCTTCTTCTCTTCTTTTCTTCTTTTCTTCTTTTTTTTCTTCTTCTTCCTTCTTCCTTCTTCTCTTTTTTCTCTTCTTTCTTTATTTAAATTCTTCTTATCTTCTTCAACATATTTCTTCTTTTTTCTTTCTTCTCTTTTTTTTTTTTTCCCTTCTTCTCTTCATTCTTCTCTTTCTTCTTCTCTTCCTTCTTCTCTTTCTTCTTCTCTTTCTTCTTCTCTTCCTTCTTCTTGTCTTTATCCTTTTCGTTATTCTTGTTCTTCTCCTCCTCCTTTTGTTTCCTTTTACTTCTCTTTCCCATATCTTTCCTGTTTCTTCTTCTCTTTCTTATTTTATTCTTCTACTATTCATTCGTTTCCTTCTGCATTTTTTCATTTACCTTATTCTATTTTTTACTTTTCCTTCTTCGTTTTTTTTTTATTTTATTTTTCTCGGATTATTTCCTATTCCTTCATTTCATTTTCATGTGTATTTTTTTAGACTTTGTTTTTCTCATGTTAATTATTTTTCTTCGACGATTACTTCTGTTATTTTTACTTTTATTTTTTCTTCTTCCTCTTCTGATTATTATTATTAAAAAAAGCTCTTCCTTTTTTTTCTTTTTCGATTTATTTTCTTCTGTTACTCTTCTCTAGATTCTTCTTTCTTTTCTTCTTGGTTCTTCGTTTCTTTCTTCTCCAAAATCCTCTTCTTCTTATCTATAACTTTTTCTTCTCCACAATCATCATCATCATCATCATCTTATTATTATTATTATTATTATTATTATTATTTATTCCTTTTTCTTCTTCACAATTATCATCTTCTGCTTCTTTTTCTTCTTCTTCATGTTTTTATTCGTTCCTTTTTCTTCTCTACAATCATTATCTTCTGCCACTTTTTCCTTCTTCTTCTTCTTCATATACTGCTTCATTCTTTTTTTTTCTCTATAATTATCAATCATCATCTTCTGCCTCTTTTTCTTCTTCTTCATAATCTTCATAATCTTCTTCTTTATTCATTTTTCTTCTTCTTCTTCTTCTTCTTCTTCTTCATATTGTTCTTTTTCATTCCTTTTTCATCGCCACAATTACCATTTTCTGCTTCTTTTTCGCCTTCTTCATGTTTTTATTCGTTCCTTTTTCTTCTCTACAATCATCATCTTCTGCCTCTTTTTCTTCTTCTTCTTCTTCTTCTTCTTCTTCTTCTTCATAATCTTCTTCTTTATTCCTTTTTCTTTTACTTCTTCTTCTTCTTCTTCTTCATTCTTTTTTCATCGCCACAATCAACAAATTTTCATGCTAAAAAAAAAAAAAATTCTAAACTCCTACAAAAATCTTTTTTTTTAAACTTCTTCTCCATCTTTCTTTTCTTTTATTCTTCTTCTTCTTCTCATTACTATTATTATTATTATTATTTTATTTATTTATTTATTTTATTTATTTCCATATTTTGTATCTCTCTCTCCTTTTCATTTTTTTCATATGTTTTTTTTCAGTTTTCCTTTCAAATTTTTTTTTTCCTTCAGACCTTAATTTTT